TTCTGCTTTAAAGAGAAAAGAATGTGAACGCTCATCATTACGCAGCACGTATATGGCCATCCAGCCTCCTTTGACGCTGAAGCCGAAAACGGCCCTGAGCACCAGGATGACCGCGTAGTTTGGTATGACAGCCAAACCGATTCCTGCTGCTACATTTATCACGTTGGACAGGAGGAAACTCTTCATTCTTCCAAATCTACAGAGAGAAGAAACAAAACACCACTTGAAATGTTTTCCTTTAATACTTTTTTTCATATGAATGAAATCATAATTTTAAACGACTGTCTGTTTGTAACCAATGGCTAAAAGTGTTTTTTTTGGGGGGATAATTTTTGTTATTCTAGCTATTTGTCACGGCTCTACCTGTCAGCAAAGTAACCAAAAGCAAAGCTGCCAACCAGGAATCCCATGTTGAGAGTCGACTGGTACATATCCACCAGCCATCCATCTGAACACACCAGGTCGAACTGGAAATGTGCAACAGAAAACGTGAAAAATGGTGAAATAATAAAAACAAGAAGCTAATTCTGTGAGATTAGTGGGTGTCAGGTGTCAGCATGGTGCAGTATAGGTGGAGATGAACAAACGGTTTTTATTTTATTAAAATAAAATACCGTGGGTAACTGCAGCTCACATTGGGATCAGCTCTGAGTTTTCTTTACAAGTATTATAATTGAAGACATGAAACAATTTTGCCACTTTTTTGTTCATGTTTTTTTAATTGTTATTATTTCTAATGTTTAAGTTTACAACTGTTGCTCACACATTTTTTTTTTTGCTCAAACGCACAGATTTTGTTCTCACCTCTGTGACAAACGACTTCCTGCCTTCATAATGATATTCCCAGCCTTCCTGAAAGACAGAAAATCAAATGTTTCATTAAAAACACCGAAGCTTTTCTATATAAACTGGAGTTGCCATGTTGGCGTGTGTTTGAGATGGTATTAAAAATGTCAACTCTAAAAAAAAAAGCCCATATATTCACAGGACAAGAATACTTTCTGTGCAATGCACACAACATGACACAAAGTTGCATTTTTTGACCAAATTTTGTACACAAATTTTGCAGTGGAAACACAGCTAACAAGCAGATTGTGGAAAATTAATTATGACAATGAAAGGATGCAAATTGAACTTTTCATTCCAACCCTGCAGACGCTCCCCGACTAAACTACTGACACTGACTGCATAGCAGCGTTGACAGCTGTTGCATGAATCCAATATATCAAAAATATTTACATTTGTTCTCAGGTAATTAGTTTGACAAGAGAAGTTTGTAACTTCTTTCACAGCTCTGGATGTAAAGAACCCCGTTACATTTCTGCAGGATGGGAGCAAGAGGAGGAAGCAGCGTGAATGTGAAGCAGCTCTGAAGATAAAACCTTCATTTTCTTCAAAAGATTGTTTACATCTCCACAAGAACATTTTATGTAACTTCAGGGTCACAGAGGAGCTAACAAGAAAAGCAAACACCAACATAGTGATCATTTCTTAGCAGACCAGCATTGTCTTCTGCACATTTATTGTCATTATTCGCTCAGTGTTACAAGGTTATGAATTCGGATGTTTTTCAAAACTTTATGGCCTTTAGCAGAGCAGAGGTCATGGGTGCAGACTTGTTTCTGAATCAGAGGTGAACAGTTTTGTTATTTTTGTTTATTCCTTTATTGATCCGACATTCAGAGAGCAAAAAAAAAAGGATCTGAAAAGGTGATGTCTGTCAGAACATCATCACAGCGGTTGTTTACCTCCATTGTCAGATCGCTGTCAATCATTACGTTATAAACCCAGTTCTCTGACCTTCAATAACTGCAAGATTTTCACAAACAAGGGCAAGGTTACACCGCTGAAGAGATAAAAATTAAAAACTGAATGCTTCTTTGTGTCTTGTTTTCCATGAGAGTGAGGGTAGATTATTCTTGCAGACTTTGCACCATCGAAATGTAACCAACACATTTGCACCATCTCTGTAGGTCTAATGAAAAAGAAATAAAGTCAGTTTACTTTACATTATTGTTGGCATAATAGTGTAATTGAAACAGTGACACTTTTCCAGGTCCTTGTATTCTACAACTTTCCCATTAGAGTGCAACATTTAAAATACTCTTTCACCTGTTGCAGAGGCCATAAATACACTGAGGCAATAAAAATTATTTTAATTCCATATAATGTGTAAGTTTTTATCTAGATACTGGGGCTCTATAGGAACTTGCATTGAAAAACTGAAAACAGACAAAAATTTGCATGAAACTTAAATCGTGATTTTAGAAAAACAGAGAGATATTAAAAAGATGAATCATTTGGAGATAGTTTAATACATTGTGACCTGATTACAAGTTGAATGGAGTTTCTATGGTGAAGTGGAAAGTAGCAGGAAGCTGTCAAAGAGCACAAAGTGATGAATTTCTGGAGAATTTCAATGCATTTCAATGAAGCTGGAATTTACATAAAAGTTTAAATATTTCAAAAAGTCAAATAGATTAAGTTACCAAAAGTAATCGTGCACTTCCCCTAAAGAAGCTGAACATTTTTATTTATGAATTGTTAAAATCTGTCAAAGTAAACCCAGAAGGCAAACAGAACATGGAATAATAATAAAAAAGAGAAACAAAATCTTAAGAAGTGTTGATGCTGAATGCATTTGATTGCAAGAAACTGACCTTGCATGGTATAACAGCCGCTCCGCTAAAGTCCAGTCCTTCTGGGTCACAGTTGAGTTCTGTGTTGTTCCAGTCCACCTCATGCTGATTGCAGCTGCAGTGCTGCAGGACTCCTGACACGTTGACCAGCGGCGCCGTCAGGCTGCGACTTTTCTCCAGGCTCCATCCGCAGGCCTCCCTCTTCTCCACCAGCGCAGAGTCCCGGCACCAGTGATCCGGCGTGAAGCCCTGGAAGACAATCCCAACGTAGACACCGGAGAATGGCAACGACAAGAAGCAGAGCATGGCGAAGATCCGCTTCTGGCAGCGGCCGAAAGAGCCGGCCTCCTCCAGGAGGTCATCAAAGGTCGCCATCCAAGCGCTGACGTTTGAGTGTTTGATGCTGGTCTGTTCAGCTCACTGTAGGTTACTGTAAAGGTCTGCCCTCACAGATTTTCAACGTTTAAATGTTGCGTCACTAAGCAGGTCAATGTCCGGAGGTGAAGTCCAAAAGTTTGGTGGAAAAAAAAGCTAAAAGGTGCACAAGAGGGAAAACCTTCGTTCTTTTAATGAGTGAAAGACAGAGGAGTTATCCAAACTTTAATATGCATAATTTTTAACTAAAAGTCACAAGCATGCTTTATGTTTTCAATGAAGTATCACATCATCACAGATTCAAGGAGGACAGATAATCATTGGGATCCAGGAATGTTTAGGATTCAATGATTTACATATTTACAATCAGCTTTATGTGGATAAAAAAAGAGATTTTCATAACCAACATTAAATGAAATATAGGGAGGATGAAGAAAGATAAACGTTGCATGTTTTTTCTTCAATACAGAAAAAAGTCAAAACTTTAAAGAAAAATGTTGAAATGCTGAGAAAAATGTCAGAATTTAGTTTTAATTAAAACATTGACAATAATGTGGAAATAAGGCAGAATGATGTAACTGCTGTATTTAAGATGTTTATATCCTAAAGTAGAAATAATTTTCCTCCTTTTCTAAAAACATAAATCATATTTCCATGAGGAACAATTGATATTTACTTTATATACTTTTTCTATTTCATTTTTAATCTTAAAATGGGGACAGCAGCAAAACTTCATTGTTTTTTGTAATATATGCAACTTTTCTCCACATAAACAGACCAGAAACAATACAGACAATAAATGATGAACCTTTGCTGAATAAAGGCAAGTTACTGTGAACTAATGAAAGTTCAATGAAGTACAATATAGTTTGAACATAAAATCATGAAGTAAAAACTTATCAAAAATGTTTCAGTCATGATTATCGCCCTCTGCTGGCCGTAAGACATCACGTCAATTTTAGGCAACATTTTACCTCTGAAAAAAACAACACAAAACTCCAGTTTATTTGGAATAAAACTCTTTAATAATTTAATACTGTTGCTAAACATCAGAAAACATAAAAGCAGATTCATCTTGGCTCTAACTTCTGTGAATATGTGAACAGTGCAGGAACAAAATAAGTTTTAATGAATCCAAACAAATAAAAGCAGAAATGAGGAAGAGGAATAAATCAATCACACGGCTGCTGGGTCTTTGCAGGGCGACGTGTTGCTGTTGGGCAGCAGGTTGTCCAGCTGCTGGCTGTCCGGCATCATCTTCTCCTTCACCCTGAACACAAACATGGAAAAACCTTCGTTCACCGACAACAACCAGCAAATGAACTGAAACCAAATCGTTCATTTATAGATTAGAACATTTTAATCTTAGCTTAGCTCAGGACGATGGGTAGTAAACAGAACTTTTTAAATATTTTGCTACATATGGTTAAAAAATGACAGAGATTTGGCCAGGTTAAGAAAAAATAAAATAAAATAATGAGAATTACAAGAAGTCATCAAAACTGAAATATTATGTAAACTGACAAAATGAGTATTAGAGAGATGCCAAAACAATAAAAAAATAGATATTAGAGTAAATGTGTATGAGAAAAGGTCATTATATTGTGCGTTTATTATATTTTTATTTTTTATGTGGGGAAAAAAAGACATTTTCATAACCAAAATTAAATTAAATTTTTATGAGAAATTATTCTCATAATCTTATAATTTTCTTCTTATGCGAATTTATTTTATGTCTTGATACTCTGTTGTAAAAAAGAGTTTATTGTGGAAGTTTAGTTTTCTCTGTCAATCTTGTTTTTTCAGTAAAAAGTAATGTCTCCCCCTGCTGGCTGGTAGATAAAACGCACGCTTAGAAATCAGAAATATTGGTTTTATTTTTAGACTCTGTTTTTTTTCCTCAGTTTGATTTTTTAATCTTCATCCATGAATGAAACTGGACAAGCGTATTTTAAGATATTCTCTTTTTTAATTGTTTTTTGCTGCTCACCTCTCAGGAAACTCGATATCGTTGATGGTGTCAGGCAGCGGCACACCTCTGGTTTCTGGAAGGAGGAGAACTAAACCACCAGCCACGAAGGCCAAGCATCCTGCAGAGCAAATGATAAACTCAGCTTTTATAATCATGTTTACTTCTCATTTTTGGTCACATGTTTCACTTAAAATGAGTAAATTAAACAACTCTTTCTTGCTGAAAAGTTACTTGTAAGTTTTGTTTTATTTCAAATATACTAAAATATTTGCACTGGAAACTAGAGAAAAAAATACTTAGGGTTTATGTTTTTTGCATTATACTTTCAGTCACTCAGTATTGATGCAGTTCCTTTAAAATCCTCACATTTCCACAAATGTTTGGAGTGACACTACTTTGCTTTTACACCATAACACATAAAACAACCTAAAATAGTTTTATTTCAACTTATTAGATGCCATTATGTTGTGGTTGGTGAATATTTGTGTAGCAACACTGATTAGTTGATTTACAGGCCTGATTTTGGACCAGACAGTGGAAATGCACAAAGTTACTGACAAGGTTGTTCTAGTTTCCATTGATGTGAACCTTAAATTACACTGTAGGTTGTTTATAAAACTAAGAGCACACCAAAAATGATGAGTGGGAGCTCAAGCCAGATGACAGCGAGTCTGTAGAGCAGGAAAGGAGCGACGATGCCCCCAACGTCACACAGAGTGGAGCAAACCGACACGCCAAAGTTCCTGGAAAGACAACAACAAGTCTGAGATTTAAAATGCTTCTTAACCAAAATGTACGAACAATCAAAGGGTCTTACCGGACAAATGTTGGGTAGAGTTCAGTGTTTACGAAGACGACCATCTCAAAGGACATGGTGATCCCCAGCCGGCCGACGCAGGCCACCACCGTCTTAAACCAGAACATACCTGAGAGAGTCCAGGAAAAATAAACTGTTCAACTTGATAAACTGGAAAACTTGGAGTAATACGTTTATTTTTCTCGACCAATTGTCTGACATACTCAGTTCGATTGGGGATCAAAATTGAAACATTTGTTCCATTTTCAGCTGGTTACGGTTAGCTATGTGTCAAACGAAGTTAACTATGAAAAATCTGTCCACCTCCTCGCCTGTGGGGGCGCTGCATCAACAACCACTGAAGGAAACAAAACAAAAACTTCTGAATGTAAAACAAAATGAAGTATCAACAGATTTTAACGGATGTAGGATTTCTCTTTTGTCTTTGGTGAAAGACCAGCAGCCATTTCTCCCACTAGAGCTGGACACACGTTTGTTTTGGTTGTTTTTACCCAGAATGCTTTGTGTTTTAGTTTGCTTCCTGCTTTTAGTGCAGTCACATATGCATTCAAACCACAACGGAGTCCACATCAACCAAACCGAGGCCGAGGTTTGGAGGCGCACCAGAGTTAGTTTCAGATTCTCCTCCCCGAACCAACCAGACGTTTCAGAGACCAAACGCTGCCCAGAGCCTCACTGTCAGGAATGAAGGCTGTGATGAAGCAGGAGGCGCCGGCCACGATGTTGGCGGTGGCGAATGGGAGGCGTCGGCCGATTCGCTCGATGGTGAAGAGGATGAGGAAGGCGGCAGGGAACTCCACCAGGCCGGAGATCAGGAAGTCGATGTAGACGTTTCCTCCCAGAATTCCCAACCGCATGATCAAACCCTGGTAGACGACTGCACTGGTGAACCTGGAGGCATGCAGACACAGAAGCCTTAGAAACATATTTTTGGGATTAACGTAACGATAGAAGCATTAAAACTTTGAAACTGCGTGTCAAAATCAGGATCAAATTAAATCCAGAAAGATTCTATTCAGCATGGAAATTAAAGGGTTAAAGATTTTTTTTAAACATATTTTGTTATAAGACAAATAATCTGTGAAAAGATTGATCTCTTCCACTTCTTACTGGAGTTGATATTTCTGTCTGAAGAAATGCAATACCCCTGGTCAAAAACAACCAATGAGAGCAAGGAGGAAGGTCGTAGCGCCGTCAATCATCCTCATGTAGTTGTTGCTAAATGTGCTAATGGTGGAGAAAGACTTACTCTTACAGAAAAACTGTTTATCTGCCATAACTGGTGGCTATGCTAACTAGCATTACCATTCACAACAGGCTCTGCTGAAAAGGAGAAACTGAATCAGCCATGATTGGCATAGCTAAAACCCGCCTCCTGGCTCTGATTGGTTGTTTCTAGTGAATACTACAAGATGGCACATATTGCTATAACAGAGTCAGTTTCAGTGAATTATTGACTTAAAACCAGCTCCTATACCTGCTTGAAAAATGACATGTAAGTTAGTTTTGTCTTGTTTGAAATTTGCTAAGATATTTGTAAATATAAATATTTGAAACTAGACGAACAAAAGTTTTGCTTTTCAAAAACTGGGGGAAAACCAGTGTTTGCGTGGAGTTTTAAGAGAAATGCTCACCAGTTGAAGCTGAGAATAAGCGTGTGTTTTCTCATTTTTGGAGTTCTGATCAGGTCCATGAAGGAGGCGGTGGAGGAATCAGCGTTATCGTCCGACAGCGTCTAGAAAACACAAACATTCAGGAGTTTCACACGCCGGGTTTCTGTGTCCAAACTGAGGAGGACAGGTGAGTTACCTCTATCATCTTGGACAGAGTCTTCCCGTTTTCCTTCGCCATGTCTTTGGTGATCTTCACAGCTTTGGACTTCCTGTTCTGAGACAGCAGCCATCTTGGAGATTCAGGGATGAACCTTAGAGGTAAAAACAACGACAGAAATCAGGAAACTTCCACAAATCCCAGTTTTTCACTGATACAGAATACAAATGTATGAGCTAATTTAGAAATATTTATAAGAAATTTTGCGGCATATTGATGATAAATATGACTTTATATCTCCCAACACTTCAAGTAAAGCTGAGGCAGCAGTGGAGTAGAAGTAAGAAATACTGCCACCTGCAGGTGGAATTTGGTCGTCCATTTTGACTATTTTTTCTGAAAATGTCTCTGCTTTTCTTGAATTTCTACAAACTCTGGAATCAAAAAAACCTGGAGGGACTGATTGGTGTAATTAGGTAGTAAACAAAAACTTTTGCAAGCCAATTTTGAAAAAACTCACATTTTCTGATAAAATGCTTTTGCACTAGGATGAGGTAGTTTTTTGTGGTGTATCAAAATTAGTGTATTTTTGAAAAACTGAAAAGTTTTCTTTTTTGTAAATTGGACTCATCATGTGATCAACAACCTATGGAAGAGGATTAGGGCCAAAAAATAAAATAATTTTGACATTTTTCTTTGTTCACTAAATAAATTCACTGTTTACTCATCAGTGATCCATTCAGGTGTCTCACCAATAGTAGGACAGGAAGAGAATGTAGGGGACGGTGATGACGACCTGCAGACAGCGCCAGTCCGTGATGAAGTAGGCGAGCAAAGGGAGGATGAGGATGCCAACGCTGAAGAACATCTGGTAAATAACTCCCACCGTCCGTCTGAACTCCACCCCAACGATCTCTGTGACTGATGTACAAACATTTTGTTTTGTTTCACTGATGTGCAGGCGGACGATGTGTTCAATGGTATATTGGAAAGGAAAAAAAGGAGTAAATTTCCACAAAAATTTAAATTAATCCCAGAAAAATTAAAGAAAAAAAACTATTTTTAAGCTCCGTAAGTTGAACATTTACGAGAAAAAAAGAAGAGATTTCTACAAAAACATTGAAAGTTCTGAGTTTGAAAAGTTGAAAATTTGCTAGAATTTTAAAAAATATATTTTTAGATTGACCTAAAAAATTGTCTGGAAAAAAAAAATCTGAGCTCCAAAAGTCGTAAATTTGTAAGAAAAACCATGAACTATTCTCAGATTCAAAAGTCGAAAACTATTTACTTTTGTAAATCTAATTTTTTCTCACAAATTTTCAACTTCAAGTCCAAATGTCCAAGTTTTTTCAGTTTTTTCTGACCAGTTTTTTGACTTTTCAAACTCAGAAATTCCCAACATTTTTCTACAAAATTTCTGAGGTTAACCAAAATATTTCTCAGTTTTTTGGACTTAAAATTTCATTGCAATATTTTGTGGTTCTGCTGTGATAATAAAAGCGACAATAAGAACTACTTTATATATTTTTATGCAACTGTTTGTTTCTGCAAACCACAGAAGTCATAGCACCACAAACAAATTTTGGGCAGATTTAACAGTTTTTAAACATCATTAATTGGAATTTATTGTGACAAAAATAAATCAAAATCGTATCATGATAAGAAATTGATCATGATAACTGATAAACGATATGACTTGGATGTTGAATAAAAGGATTCTTACTGAGTACGTATCCCGCCACCCATCCTCCTTTCACTCCGAACCCGTACAGCGTCCTGAAAACCAGTAAAGAAATGTAGTTGGGAGCCACAGCAACCAGGATGCCGGCGATCCCGTTCAGCACGTTGGACATCAGGAAGCTCAGTTTCCTCCCAAACCTGCAGAGACACAAACATTTACTGGGAAATGATCCCAAACTCATCCTGCCGTTTAAACTCAGAGCACAGAAAGCAAACCAACCTGTCGGCCAGGTAGCCGATGGCGATGCTGCCGATCAGGAAGCCAACGTTCAGCGTGGCCTGGTACAGATCCACCAGCCACCCGTCTGAACACACCAGGTCAAACTGGACACACAAAATCAGGCTCAAATTATTCACATCTTATTTGCATTAAACGGAATATTAACCTTTTTGAAATATCAGTCTTGGCCAAAAATCTCCTGCGTAAAAAATGTATCTCAGTGGGATTTGAATAAAATAAAAATAAATAAATGAGACAACAAACTTCTGGAAACCACAGAACGACATTGATTTCAAAAATTTTTAAGAAAAAGAAAAAAGAATTTCTGAGCTTCAAAGGTAAAAAAAAAAAAATCTGAAAAAAAGTGAGAAAAAAAAACCAAGGAACTTTTGAGTTTGAAAAATCTAAAATTTTTGACTTTAAACTTAATGTCTTCATAGTTTTTTTCTCATTTACAAAGATTTGCACTAGAATTCAAACCAACTTGGTGAGATTTTGTGTTTGCAGTGAAAAACATTTTTCTCCTGCAAACTTGGCAGAAATTTGGATCCTTCACCAAATGCACTGAAATAGATTTTTCCATCAAGTCAAAGTGAACTTTCCTCACCTCGGTGACGAAGGACTTCCTCCCGTCATAGTCGTACTCCCAGCCCTCGCTGCAGCCGGCCGTGGGTGTTGCGCTCCGGTGCGTCTCCCGTGGATCGCAGCTGCTCTCCGTTTCGTTCCAGTCCACTTCGTAGCGCAAGCAGCTGCTGCGCTGCAGAGCGCCGCTGATGTTGAGCAGCGGCGCCGTCAGGCTGCGACTCTCCTCCCGGCTTCATCCGCAGGCCTCCCTCCGCTGCACCGCCGCCGAGTCCCGGCACCAGTGATCCGGGGTGAAGCCCTGGAACACGATGCCCACGTACACGCCGGCCCACGGCATGGACACCATGCACAGCAGGGCAAAGACGCGCTTCTGGCAGCGCCCGAACTTCCCCGCTTCCTCCAAGATGTCGTCGAAAGTGGCCATGAGTTTCGCCTGCAAGCAGCTGATCTGTATGCCGGGCCTCTCGCTGCACACCGACCATTCAAACTGCGGGCCCAGTGTGGCCCACTTGGGTTTTTAACGGGACCAACTGGAGCAAAGGTCCACTGAAATGCGTCTGTTCTTCGCATGCTGTGCAGCAGAGCATGAAAAACATTTGCTATGATTTTTACAGACGTCAGAGGAACAGTTAGAAGTTGGCGCAAAGCCTTGGCGCAAAGCCTGCATGAATTTCTCAAAGCTTCGTTAACATAATTGCATCTGATGGAGCAGCTGGATGCAAATAGTTTAAATAGCGGACATTTAAACCCGCTCAGGTCTGAATGAATTCAGACAAACTGCATCATCTCAGATCAGTCTGAAAAGTTTCTATGGAGCGAAATTGAGGCCAAACAGTTTGTTCAGAAGGGAAAAAAAAGCTTGTTTCAAAAGATTTGAAACTGAAAATAAATGGAACGATTAAAAAAACGATTACATTAAAAAAATAATTTTGAAATTGTTAAGTTTGAAACTGAAAAACAGATTTGAAACTGGAAAAGACAATAAAAATATTGGAAACTAAAAAAATATTTAGAAATTTGAAGAAATCTGGAGCTGAAAAACAATTAAATGGAAGATTTGAAACTAAAAAACATGTTCAAAACAAATGTTCAGTTTCCAATCCTTTTTCAGTTTCAAACAAATTTTTTTTAAGTTTAAAATTTCTAAAACTTTATGGCCACAATTTATCTCCGTGGAACCTGAAAAAGAAAACTTGATTCCAAAATAGTATTGAACATTTTTAACAGTTTTACATCATTCTTACAGTTTTACAACTTCTTCAGTTTCAATTCATACATTTTCTGTTGAACTGCATGTATGGCCCCTATTTAGCTCCATACAAGTTCAATAATGAAATAAAAATTGAAGGAATATTCCATAAAAACTGTCAGGATGAGATGAAACTTCAACAACAGAGTGCAGATCTCTTATTTATTTAAATAATGCATTATTCTTTACATCAATATTTTGTTTTTAAATAAAAAAACTGAGAAAAAGCTTCAAACAGAGAACATAATTCAGACCAACTCAAACATAAGGAACCCCATAAGTACAGAATCATCATCCCAGGAGATTTTTCCAGTTCACAGCTTTTTCTTAACTCCAGATTTCAACCTGAAAGTTTCAGGGATGAGAAAGTTCAGGAGAACGTTTACGACGGAACAGTCCCATGCAGATGAGAAGAAAAGGAAGCAACAGAAAACAGGAAAAAGTTACAAAATTCCCAAAACAACAGTTCAAACCAGAATTCATTAACGAGTGATTGAACTGGGCTGTTTTTTTTTTTTCATTTTTATTCTACATTGATGTAACTTCAAATCAACAGTTTAATAATTTAATTTCGTCTTGGACACCTTTGTTAATTAATCTGGAACCATGTTGACACATCGTCTCTTCCATGACAAAATCTGATTTTCAAAATGAGATATTTGTGATCTAAGTGATAAAAACAGGAGCGCTAACAGGTGTTTGCGGTTTTTGTTCAACTCATGAAGTTGAATGAAAACTTGAAGAGATTTTGTTCAACTAACCCTAACCTTACATTTTGGGCTCTAAAAAAGTAAGAGCTCAACATAATGAGCTTGAATACTCCAGTTAGTCTAATCCTAAAGAAATTTCTCTCATAATTTGCACTTAAAATATAGATTTTTTTATTTTTTTGTCACATTCTAAGACTTTGTTCCAGTGTATTTTACAGGAAGTCTCAAATAGATTGTATTTAGGTAGATGATGGTAATAAATGCAGCTTAACAATAAATTTTGTTTCCATTTGTCAGCTTTTTTCAAGTGTTTTGAAGATCAAGAAGAATAATTTTTGTATTCTTTTTTTGGAGAAGATAAACTCCTTCTTTAAGGGTGCAGCAGTACATGTGATTGTCCCAAATCCCTCAGAGTAGAACAGGAAGAGCATAATCTATGGAAAGCTGAGTTGGGAAAAAATGAAAATCCAATCTAAAGCTCTCCACACCAAAGCAATGCAAAGATTGCATCAGCTAATGATGACAGATGCTTGTTTTATTTATTTTGAAGCATTCTGGTAACCAATGGTTATAAAGGAGAGCATGTTGGGAGTATGGCAAGCCAAATGGTCATGTAATCAAGCACTTTGCCATGTCTGGTTGTATCTAACATTAGTGAACTTTTAATAAGTAACGAGGCTCCTAAATAAAGTTTGTTTTCTGTTTGAAATGAGGTTTTTGTTCCTGTGCTAAACCCAGATCAACCTGGACATGTGGATTATTTGTACTGCTACCACCAATTCCTGTAAGTTGGACACTGCAAAAAACTACATCTTACCAAGTATTTATGTCTAAATTTTAGTGCAAATATTTGAAATGAGACAAAAACTAACTTAAAAGTAACTGTTCAAGAAGATATAAGAGGTTGTTTTAGATAAATAATTCCTCAATATTGATGAGAAAGTTCTAGTTCCATTGGTAGATTATATCTGTAAGTGGATTTATTACATGGGAAAAATGATGTTATAAGTGAAATAATTTGCTAGTGGAAATATTCACTAGAAAATCAATATTAGGTAAGTTAGTTTAGTCTTATTTCAAGTACACAAAGGTATTAGACACGAGGAATTAGACAAAACTTGGTCAGGTTTTGTGTTTTTGCAGTGGAAACCAACTTTGCTTCAACAAAATGATGCAAAGTTTTTGCATTAATAGTTCAGATTTAGAAGTTCATTATTTATTCATTTTTTTTGTAAAATTGAAATAAATTTAGATTTGCAAAAAAATTAAAACTCTTGTTTGACCTGTGTTTTTAATGTGATCATTTTGTGGGAGTTTTATTAAATTCAATAATGTAAATTGGACAAAACTAAGAAAATCCTGGAATTACTCAAAACTAGAACATCTGAGCACTGATTCATTTGCCAAACCAAGTTGTAAATAACACTGCAGATTTGTTTTATCTCATACACCAAACAAATACTGATGCAAGTTAAATCCTGTGTTTTTGGCCAACTGTGAACTCTGACACTGAAAAATCTAAAACGTTTTGGAGCAGAAACATCAGCAAGACCTGCAAACCAAAGCTGAGTCTCCAACATAAAACAGCAGGAAAAAAAATCTAGATTAGTGACTGAAATATGGCTTCCAATCTCCAGTTTCCCTTCAGCCGACCGTCCATTCCCACATAAGGCTGTTGTACAGAAAATCAGTTAAATAATCATAAAATAAATGTGTGTGCGACACACCAAAGAGGCCGAGAAACAAAAAACAAAACATGATCGTCCATTTACAAAAAACCTGTTCGCCAGACAAAATCATCAAGGAAGGCATCAAACTTTCTTTTTAAGGGGAAAGAAAGAAAAAAACCTGCTCTGCTAGCAGCTGTAAACAGTGTCTTCGTCCCTTAATAACGTTTCACCAGCTTCCCGACACGTTCCCAAAGAAAAACCTAACAAATGTACTGATTTCGTCAAAGTGCTAAATTAATGGCACAACCTTATTTCAAACTGGAAAATAAAAATATAGTTGTGGTTTTCTCAGCGAGGAACGTGTGCAATCAGGGTCTAATTGAGAGACGCAGGTACTAAAGGCCTGAAGATCAGTTTTAAATAATAAACCTCTCAATAAATTAAAATCAACACCGGCAGTCCGGGTCCGAATCGGCCGAGAAAAGGCGCAACGGAGAGGGGAAAAAAAACGCAATCTGTTGGTTTTGCTGCTGCCATCTTGGAGACATTCACTGAGAGAAGAGTTCAGGCGGTGACATCACACCCTGAGGAGATCCTCGTCGCTGTCGTCGTCCTCACGCTTCCGGCTGCGAGGTTTGCTGCTCTTCCTCGCCCTGTCCGACTCCTCCAACAAGCCCACCAGGTCTTCATCGCTCTCCTCCTGGAGCAAACACAGAAAGCACGCCGTGAGGGTTTGACACGTTAAATTGTCCCAGAAACTTTTGTGATGAACGATGATATTCTAAGCTGATTTTACAAAAATGACGCCGTCCTTTATTTATTTTGCATTAAATTTAAAATTCCTAGTTTCACTTTCTTCGAAAAACATTTTGTTGCAGTTAATTTCTTTATTATTAATTTTACAATTGCTGTTCTGATGGAACAAATTAACGTTGTTTTTACATTTTTGGCCGAGTTTGTTAAGCTACTGGTTTATTTAACTGAGCTGAACTGGTGCAGAATTAGCTAATATATCTACATCTATATTTTAAATGAATTCAGTGTTGTTTCTCTGTAAATGCCGATATTAAACTTGAGACATCTGGATTGGAAGAGAAAAAAGTGGCTCAGTGCATCCCTATTTTTAACCAATATATTGATAATGGGATGATAGTAATGCAAGCTTCCCAAAGATTTATCAATTTTACAGTTGTACAGAACTCCCAACAACCAAAACAATAAATAAAATGGATTATGGAGTGTTTGTAAACAAAATTTGAGTTTTAAAACAAAAAGGCCAATCGACTGGCGTGACCTCTGACCTGCAGGACGGCGCTGCGCTGAGTCCTGGACGCCGCCGGCGGTTTCAGCACTCTGACGCCCGGGACGCTCAGCACCTCGTCCTCGCTGTCGTCGTCCTGCTCGTCCAGAGAGAACGAGCGCAGCCCGTCCGTGTTCACCGGCTTGGTCCTGATGTGGCCGTTGCTATGGTTACTCCTCCCGCGGTGCGAGGAGGACGACAGCGGCGTTTCCAGCTCCTCCATCAACCACTCCATCTCCTCCTCGCCGCCTTCCTCATCCGTGTTGACCTGCGGGTCAAAGGGCGGATTTAGCAGCAGCAAACTGAGAACTGCTGCGCTCTCTGAAGGCGGTGAGAACGAACCTTGGAATATTTATACGAGACTTGATTTCCTCTCTTGCAGCAGCCGGTGACTTTCTGCATCACAAGCTCCCTGAATGAGACGGAAACGTTTGGTGAGAGAGAAGAAACAAAAACTGATTTTTTCTCAGGCTGCTTTCACACCTGTCAGTCTCCTAATCAAATATTGCAACCAAAGTTGTAACATTTGTTTGATTTTCATCAGGA